AAACGCAGTCCTATACAGTTAAGGTTTTCAACAGTTGAAATAGCTAATTGGTGACGACGGAAGACGGACAAGACAATCGTAATTCATAGCGTCGCCGCCCGCGATGAGTAGTGCTACCATGCGCGGCAAATTCTGAATGTGCATCTTCTTGTTGATTCATGTGAATTCGAGCATAGGTAGGACTCTGTGATCGGCAGTATCCAAATCTCCCACATGTCTAGCGCTCATATTCAAACATCCAGGCCCGAAAACTTGTGCGCTACATAGCTCGCCACACCCACCCGCATGGCATATTACGATAGTCTTGTCACATTCCGGGTGACGTCCCACCCCTTACGATTATTTGGGTTTTTGTAGAAAAACTGGAAATGTTTCTGGAAAATTGGTAGAAGTGGATGGTAGGAAATTCGGAAAACTTAAGAACTTGATAGTTAGGAGTGGGTCGTACATGAGAAAGAATTTTAGGGGTGGCGGTTGAAGAGGTGGGAGGTGTTTGATACCGGTTATTTCTCCCACTGCTTTACCTGATATCACATTCATTTGACGAAAGCGCATGGAGGAAACAGTGGTGTCCTTAGCGAGGGTGTCAAACTACTTTCACTGAGAAGTTTTCAATAAACGTTCAACCCGATTTTCGGAACAGGTCCCCAATGTTCAAGTATTGCTGGAACTTCTTTTCGAATCGTAGCAATGATAGTTTCGTTACAGTATGTTGGCTCACGTTTGGTGCTGGCTCGATTGGATGGGTCCATAGAATTCTTGGAACTGTCACTGACTACAGAGAGGGTACCTCTTCCTATGTTACTCGATATAAATCTGAAAGCTTTCGCTTGGAAGGTGTACTATACCTTCAAGTCTGAATCTATTCCAACGCTTTCCTAAAATTATGTGGTGCTAATCAAATGTGATCTTTAAGCCTACTCGAGTAACGTCTATTGTGCTTCTCAACGTCATTCGTGCTCATCAGAAACCGATTTCTCACTTGGAAGCTTCATCGCTGGTAGCGGTTTCAGCCAGCTATGATCATACACTCAAAGTGTTCGACCTTCGTACCTGCCAACTACAGTCGATGCTGCATGCTCATAGTGGACCGGTGACAGCCGTGTGCATCGACCATGCTTCCAGCGTAAGGAGCTTTTGATTATTTGAGAAAATGGAGGCTTTTTTCGAAAAAAAAATCGTGGTTTCAGACGTTATTCTCTGGCTGTGAGCAAGGCATAATCTGCTGGTGGAATTTGACTACTGGAGAACTTCTTCGGTCGCTTGATGTCAAGTGTATAGGTGTGGTAGCTTACGTTAATTCAGTAGCCTTACAAGTCCACTAAAAACTAAGGATGGCCAGACCGCGGTACCAGTTATCATTGTGTGTAAGACATAGGGGGGTTGTAGATTTCGGCCGTGGAGAGGGGGTCGTATGTGCCTTTAAAGGCAGCAGTTGGCACGATGGTTTCCTACTTAGCCTAAAATGCTAGTAGGGCGCTGTATAGTGGGGAAATGGCGAAAGAACGGAGTGAAACGGTCAAATCCGGCGAAGAAAAAAGCCTCCGTTCTCAGTGACTTTGTTTTAATCGGAATTTCGGACGAGTTTCCTGTACGCATTCTGTTGCCAATCACCGCTACTCGAAGCATACGGCCATCGCATATTAGTATCATGTATGCATGCAGCATCACGCCTTCATACCAATCCCTTCGCTTCATAATTTGCTCAGCAAATGAATGAATACGAGCGTCAGAAACGGTCGTCCGTTTGTGGGCGGGCGGGCAAGGAAGGCGTTTGGGACGTAAAGTTGTTGCTCAATGGGGCGTTATAGGGTGCCCTCCTTGGAAAAAGGCTTCACGCAGCGCCTGTCCGAGGTCACGGAATTCTGTTAAGCCAGTTGTACAAATCCTACACCTGTATAGCGATTTATCGTGCCAACTGCCTTTAAGCGAGCAATTTGCTGGGTTGGGAAAACATTTCGGCACTTGAACTATTCCTACCCCAAAAAAATTTTTTTTCTCGATAAAACGTCTCCTATAGATGCAATTCGATGCCCTGATCACGAATATCGCATTCGTTTTGAGCGCTGACGCCATTTGGCGCCAATTTGGCGCCAACCACTTTTTCACCAAAGTCGTGTACTTGTATATGGGGGTTAATCGACATTCTGATCACGAATATCACATTAGTTTTGAGTGGTGGCGCCATTTGGCGCCATTGTGCGAAAATTTGGCGCCATCAAAGTCGATGAAAACTTGCGGGGGTTTATTGAGGTTCTGATCACGAATCCCGACATTTGTTTCTGGCGCTAGCGCCATGTGCCATTATGCGCCAAATTTTCGCAACCATCTTCTCCGCCGAAATCGGTGAAAACTTGTATCTGGTGGTTATTTGAGTTGAGCTCCTGATTTCCGACATGGCACCATGACGCCAAATGGCGCCAGCGCTCAAAACGAATGTGATATTCGTGATCAGGATGTCGATTCACCCCCATATACAAGTTTTCACCGACTTTGGTGAAAAAGTGGTGGCGCCAAATTGGCGGCATAATGTGCCATACTGGCGCCAGCGCTCTATCAAAACGAATGTGATATTCGTGATCAGAGCATCGCACTACATTTATAGGCGAAGTTTCGGCGAGAAAATTTTTTTTGAGTTTTTGGGGTAGGAATAGTTCAATAGTGCCAAATTTTCTCTTGGTTGACTTTTCGCCGCGTGATTTCACCTGTTTCATGTGTACGTATTTACCTCCCCCCCCTTCCGCCCCCGCTCGACAGCAAAATTTTTGGGTAAAAGTAGTGAAATTTTCGGGCAATTCCGGACGAAGTGGTAGGAAGGAAGGGAAGACAGATCGACGGAAATTCTAAGAGTGAAAAACTGGGAAATGTGGGAAGTTGGACTGGTAGGTGCTGGGGGAATTAGGGGGGGGTCGTACCGAGACCCTGATTGAGGTGGTGGGGGTCGTACCGAGACTCTCATTCGAGGGGGGGGGGGCGTATTGGCACCACCGTTTCACACATCACGATGTAGCACCCTGTGTGCAGACGGGGGAGAGCCACGAATTTGGAACGGAATGGCTACAAATGCAAATTTGTCACAAAAACAGTAAAATAGGAAGCTATCGCAAGTTATAAAGGGTAGAAAGTACTATTTGTGGTCCTCCTCCTATAACCGCTTCTTCATTTTCTCCCGATTCTTACCCTCGCTCTGTCTTGTGGCTCGCTGACACAACGGGTTCTGCGAAATCTCTTGCTTTTTTGGGATTCTTTCGGTAATTTACAAATCGAAATTATTCAGTTCTCAACTTTCCTAAACGCTTCTACCATTCATGGCAGCGGAAGTGTTGCAGTGGCTAGTAGCTCGCTTACGGCGTACGCGGCTCGTGGTGGAAGCCCCAACTGGCTCAGCCCCAGGCCAAGCGATCCTTATACTATCCGAAGACGGTAACTTGGTTACCAGATTCGTCTGGGAGGATGAGAACACTGACTTGTACATCAGCTGCCCCTCGCAAGTCATTGTGCAGGCCAGCTCGGGGTGAATAGGCCAGTGCCATTTCGAATGGAAGTATAATAGAATGCATGCCGCATCCCAAAAAGGAATTGATATTTGGCGGAGATTTTGCTTTAATTATTTCACTTTTAACCATTAAAGGCCATTTGCAACGCCTTTTTCCATTCCAGGGAGAATACAACTAGCATGTACGACAGATTATCTGTTGGGTTATTCTTCTGAAGGCGATTTTATTCTATGGAGCAAAGCAGACGGAAGTCTTCTTAGCCGAATCGCTCAACATCACATTAAGGTAAGTTAACCCGTACACGCTTGGTACTCTGATTCGTGAAGCGGAAGAACGCTTCGGGTTGATCAATGTTCCCATCATTTGCTTCTCTAGTGGGAATCATGGGGAGGGACCACTTTGACGAGAATTTGCCTTATACAGTAGCTCGTTAGGACAACCAGTGCTTGTTTTAATATTAGGTGGTGAACAGGTGTGGTGGCCTACCTGTGAGAGGTGGGATGGCGGTGTACAGTATCCTTCCTCTGTAAAAGATTCATAAGGGAAGGGGGTGTTGCTGATTTTTGCGATTTTCCGGTTTTATGCTAGTCTATAACCTACACCCACCTCCTTATTCTTCGAGGTAAAATTCTCTGGTGAAAACCGAAAATGTGGGAAATATTGATGAGGTGCTGGGGAAGGGAGGGGGGAGGTCGTACCTAAAACACCATTTCACACAGCACGATGCTGTACCCTGGGTGCGAGCCACACCTGGTAAGTTACGCCCATAGTAACAGCGTATCGTGCCTGTGAACCGGTCCGGCCCTTAACCTTTTTCAGTGGTTGTTTTGCTGTCCAAAATTTCGCGATTTTCAGAAAGATGCTGCGCTGATCGCCAGGGGTCTGTAGCCAGTGACCGCCATTAGCAGTGACAGCATCAGAAATTCACGCTTGAGTTTTGGGATTTAGAAGGCATAGAAGCGATCATACGACAGGTAAGTGTGATTGTGACACATTCAGTTTTCTGTTTGTTATTTTAATGTTTTCGTCGTTAAAAGGCACATCCCTTACAAACCATAATCCGTAAGGCGCTAGGTGGAAATGTGGGCAATGCTCAAGCCGGCGCTTTCTCTCCTTAGCGGCCCCTTCTTTTTGGCCGCATCAAGCTGACGCACCCTCTGAGGAAGGTCCTGACCGATTATAACTTTCCGCCTTTATAACTTTATAACTTTATGGTAATGTGCCCTCTCGACCCGTATCTATGAGATCGATGAAGGGTTTCCAACAGGTGTACCATTGGCGCGACCCTCCGTCGCCCGCCCCTCGCGACGCTTCTTCACTAACGACCACTATCCCAGGTCCGCACTTGCCTCTTAATTTGCTCTTCGCGACTAAGGAACGGCGAATAGATCCCCCAAGGGACTGACCTAGATATAGGTAAAAGGTGGACGTGTTCAAGCAGGAGAAAATCACAATCAGAAAAAATTCTCATCGACGGCCGAAACACGCGCCTCTCAACAGCGACGCAAACTGCAACCCTTGGGCTCCCTGCACGATGATATTGTTCGTCGTTATGACGTGCCCAATTTTGCGAATTCTTCAGTAGCTCGTGAAATCCGTCGACATTGCCTGTCAGTTGATACGAAGGCAAGGAGGCACAGGCTTGATAAAATAGCAAGGATGAACAGCATCAAGACCATTCCCTTCGCTTTTCATGGCCTGGCAAAAAACTTGAATGTGTCGGGGCATGTCAAGAGGGGTGCATTGGAGGCCCGAGTAGTGGTGCGACGTCTTTCCGTCTCTAGTTGCTAGGCCAACATGCGCTCCGCTTTGGTAAGGAAACGGTTTCCTCCTCCTCCTCCTCCCCCCATACCCCCCTCCTCGTCCTCACCTTTGACATGCCTCTGCTTTGCCAATATGAGCTACAAAGCAGAAGATGTGATACAAGTACGAGTTCTAACACTTCAAATCTTTCATTTCGAAGGATCTTGCAAGTCATTGTGATCTGTGACTCAGGCCCAAACCTTCTGTCAGGAAGCGGTTGAATCCCCTATTCTGATTTAGGGCCCAACGAAAGGTTTTTGTACTTCACCGACGTCGGATGATAATAGCCATATTTCCGTGTTGTTGTTGAATCTGGAGGGTCATGGTTTTTGTAGTACTCTGAAGTGACTGCCATTCTTGGCGTGCCATCTTAGAAGGACTGTCCGTCGTTGGTCAGGGGTTCAATGGTCAAATTATGTCGAACTCCTTTGTTTGCCTTGGTTTCTAAATAAACGATTGGTCCTAACTGACCAATTATGTAGCGAATCGTAGAGAAAGTATGGCCAATCAGCTGGTTGTAGCGGTCGACCATTCGACATTACGTCAAGGTCAAAACATTTGTTTCCCGAACAGATTCCCCCTAATATTCGTTGTTTACAAGAGTACCAATTTGTCTAGTACCCACGCCTGTTCAATCGCCTCTTCATCCACAGATCGCACTCATGTTCAGCTTAATAAGACTAGAACTGACTCGAGATGACATTATTCGCCAGGCGCTTAAAAGGTAAATGTTCTCGTTAAAGTCTATTCCCTCATGCACGTACAGGCAGGGCGCATCCTGGCTTTTGTGAAGAATTTGAAAAGAGGAGAGCGAGGAGGGTAAGCAATTCCGTTGATTTTGATCTTCTGTCAAAAACCAGGGCATATCCTGTCGCCGGGGAGATTTTGAAAAATACGACAAAATACGCCTTCCCTCTCACTAAGTTCCTCGTCTGCTACGATCCTCTCCTTCCGTATCCTATCTACCGTCTTCTCAGACTCTTCAAACTTTCTAGCTCTCTTTCCGAGCTTTCTGGAAAAGCTCC